GCCAGGCCTGGCACTGTGGGCTGTGTGGGGAAACGTCTTGGTCAGGGAGCTGCCGGGGGTGGGACGGGGGGGGGGGGCCAGGCTCACGCACTCACCTTGTGGGACAGGATCACAGACCCTTTCCTGCTCTGCAGGGCCGCCGGCGCCTCCTGGGGCAGCAGCAGCCCCAGCAGCAGCAGCAGCATCCCCGCCGCACCAGCCATGGGGCCGCAGCCTGTGGGGCACGGCCGGCATCCCATCCCCTTCTTTTGCAAAATAGGTTTTAACTAAAACAATAAACTTTATTTTCGGAACAGCTTTGAGCTACTCGAGGAATCACACAGAAGACACAGATCTCTACACGGGGCTCCCTTCACACTGGCAGGGCGTCTGCTCGCCAGACACAAGGCCCCCACGGCCAGGCTGCGCGCTTGTGCAGGACTTGCTGGGTTTGGGTAGATGCAGAACGCCGCGCTCACCAGATCCCACACAGTGCCACCCACGCGCCCACCGCTGCGGCTCCTGGCAACCACGCACCCTCTTCTTGTCCTCAGCTTGGCCTTTGCCGGACGTCATGGAGGTAGAACTGTAGAACCTTCCAGACAGGCCACTTTCACTTGAAAATATGCAGCCAGGTGTCCACTATGACTTTTCCTGGTCTGACGGCTCATTTCTTCTTTAACGTTGAATGGAAAAAGACTTAATCCTTTCTCTGAGTGAAGCGTGCCCTTCCTAAATTTAAAGAAGAATATCAGCTGTATCAGGTTGACCCGCAAGTCTTTCTCATCCAGACCTTGCTGCTCCTCTTGGAGAGGCCTTCCCTGACCCATCGAGACAAAAACCTGTGATCCTAGTTGCTCAAGAGACTGAAATCTGAGGATCAAGGCCCAAAAGTCCCTAAGACACTATCTCCAATTAACCCAGAAGGATGGACGGGATTGGACATGTGGCTCAATTGGTGGAGCATGGGTTGTGAACAAGAGGGAGAGCATGAGACCTCGAGTTCAAGTCCAGATACTGAGGAAAAAGAAAAGAGACAGAAAACAGGCTCTTGGCTGTCATGGATCCAGGATCTCCTTCTTTTTTTTCTCTTTCTCTAGTCCCAGAGCTTGAACTCAGGGCCGGGGCACTGTCCCTGAGCTGCTTTTGCTCACGGCTAGCGCTCTACCACTTGAGCCACAGCATCACTTCTGGCCTTTTCTGTGTATGTGGTATGGAGGAATCCAGCCCAGGGCTTCATACATGCTAGGCAAGCACTCTACCACTGAGCCACCTTCCTAGCCCAGGATCTCCATCTTTGTGTTCATCCTGAGCATGTTTGTAGATCCAGGCACAAGCATGCCCTTGTCCCTCCAATGTTGCTGTGTAGATGACCTGTATCTCTGCCCAGTTGAGGGTGTCATTGTGTGTCTAGTCATGGCAGAGACCCAAGAAAGGGTCAGACCCAGAGATGAGCTGGCAGGAGCCTGCTGTAGGCCATTTCTCTTCCAGATTACAGAGCTATAAGAGATTCCAGTGAACTCTCAGGATTGTTAGGGAAGTAATAGAGCTCAGACAATTGCCAGGTAAGATCAACTTAAAGTTGACTTTTTTTTCATGCCAGGTAAAAATAAGTAGAAAACAGAACAATAGGATGTCATTTGCTGTCACTAGAAAGATTAATAATGGTGCTAACTAAGACTAATAATGGTGTTAACTAATGCCCAAATGGGCCTCAATGAGGAGAATGTCCATTCCTCCCTCAGACCTCTCTCCCTCACACTACTGCACAGTGCCCACCACACCCACCTGAGCGCGCTCCGTGCAGTCGCGGGGGGGGGGGCAGGGAAGCAGCCTGCAGGAGGTGGGACACCAGCCCCCTCCTCAGCCCGCGAAGACGCTGGGCCCAGGCCTGGGACCCGGCTGGGCTGCAGAGACCAGTGGCCCAGAGCTGGGAGCAAAGGGAGTGGTCATCAGGGTAGCGGTCTTCATCAATGCTTTGGGAAAGCTGGCCACAAAGGGCCAGCAAAGGGGCTGCTGCCCAGATGTGAAATACAAAGCCGGGGGGCGGGGGGCAAGAGCAGGTGAGTGTGGGCCTCAGCCTGCCTCCTCCGTCGGTCTGCGTCCACGGCTGTGGGCCTCAGCCTGCCTCCTCCGTCGGTCTGCGTCCACGGCTGTGGGCCT